CCCGCTGACCTCAGCGGGATTATGTGCATGAATCAGAACAGCAGGCCTGGGCTCGGAGCTGAAACCCAGCACTGGGCAGGCCGCCAGCATCAGGCCCAGGGTCCACTTAGGCTCCACTTAAGCCCTATGGGATGCAAGTGGTACGCAGGCCTGTGGATGCGAGTGGTGAACAAGCCTTGTGCTGGGCCTCTGCTGAAGGATGAATTTCAGCCTGGCTTCTTAACTTCATGGGCGCAAACGTGCAACAACGGTTTCTGAGGCAAGGAGCAAAGATGCTCCCAGAAAGCCTGTGGGGTGTGCTCTAGCAAAGGGCTGGTATATGTATGCCTGCAGCAGCGTCCTCCTTCTGCTGGACAGGGAACCTTCTCACGAGCACAAGCAGTAACTGTGATTTATGACAGCTTCTACTCCAGAGGAAGAAGTGTTTTGCTACCCTCTGCACATCCACAGTCATGAGGTTGTGTTGTGCAGCAGGGTGGCTTTGTGAAGCCTGGATATCCTCTGTGCACAAGAGATGCCAAATAAAAGCAGGCAGGAGGAGGTCCTTGGCACTGGCTTTTCCTATCCTGCATTGCCTTACATGTAGGATGACCTTACCTGCTCCTGCAAGTTGGCTCTCACAGATCAGTGAGCCTCAGTTTCAGAAGCCCATTAGGCACTGAAATCAAAGGCAGTCTTCCCTTTGGTGTCCAAGTTTACTGAGTTCCCCTTGCTGTAATGGCCAGCACCCTTGCATGTGCTGCTCCTATGTCCCAAAGTGCTGAGCAACGAATGTTGCACACAGCTACTGGTATCCCCCAAACCAAGCTTCTACCTTGAAACATATGTGTTTCTAGTATGTTAAAGAGTCTGGTTCTGACCCTCACAAAACACATTTCTCATCACGACTTTATTTTGGGACATATTTCCAAGCCATACATCCCTGCAAGAGCTGTGAAGCAAAAGTAAATCAGTGAATGCCAGTGGAGCAAGAAAATACTGCAACGTATTTCTCGAAGAAATGGACATTAGTTGGCTGGTTCTTGGCCAAGCCAAGCAAGGCGGTTCTCAGGATCCAGAGAGGTGGAGGCAGGTGTGAAGTGGCAGACCCAAAAGGACAGGACAGTCTAGGCACTGCCTGGGCACGGAGGGTACAGAGCAGTGAGAGACAGCCTGTTGCTGGGCGAGAATGCAGCAGCCGTTGCCTGGACCTGGCTCTGCCGCCTGCAGAAGCCCTCTGTTCTCCTGAGGAAGACACATAACGTTTCTTTTCAGAATTGTGAAAAAGCGCCATTCCTGTGCAAACGGCAAGGCAGGGATAAAAGCCATCCTTTCCCCCGGGAGACGTGACCAGGATGGTGGACTGAAGGAGGGCGTCCGGGCCGGGAGCTGCCGGCGGAGCTGCTCCGTGTTCGCTTCTCCCGGAGCCCCCCAGGCGCGCCCGCTTGCATCGTGCGGAGCGCCGAAGCTGGGTGCGGGGAGAGCCAGAGCCGGGAGCGGGCGGAGCGCGATGCCGTGCCGTGCGGGACCGGGCGGGCCCACTGCTGGCAGGTGACCGCGGCGTGCGAGGCCGGTGCGGGCCTGGCCGGGCACGTCCCCACCTGCGGCCCCGGCGGGGGTTTGTTGCTGCCCTGGGACCGCCGCCTCTCCGCGTCGCGTCGCCGGCCCCGCCGTGCGGGGGCGTCCCCGGCGCGCTGCGGTTCTCACATAAATCAGGACCGAGCTCCTGGGAAAGGGCCATCCTTCACCGGGCGCTGCTGACAGAGAACGAGAACCAGACGGGCCCTGAGATAAACCACGGCGCGCAGCGTTTACACAAGGGCAGGCTCTGTGTAAATAGAGCCGGGCGCGGGGGGCAGCTCCCGGCGGCGCGGGTCCGCTCCGGCTGCGGCCCCAGCCCGCGGGCCGCCGGGCTCCCGGGGCGGCGGGCAGGTGACTCCCGCCCGCCCAGCGCCTTCCTCCGCCGCGCCCCCGTCCCCCGTTGGCCCCCTGAGCACCGGGGCTGGAGACAGGGCCGGATTAGTGTGTTTGTTTGTTTACGGCCATTAGCGCGGGGCCGGCTCCAGCACTCCGCACCCGCGAGACTAATGGAGCAATTAGCAGCCCCGGGACTGATAGCATCGCCCCGAGCGAGGCCCCCGGCCGCGGCCGCTGCTACCGGGCTGCCTGCGCCCGGCGCCCTGGGTCGGGCACGGTCTGTCCGTCCGCCGCGATGTGCGCGGCCGCTGCAGAGCTGCTGCTCGCTCCCCGGGCCCGGCGGGGCTCTTGGCTCCGCTGCAGCATCCGCAAGGCAAGCTCCATCCATTACAATAATCCCCTGTCTAAACAGAGCGCAGGAACGGCCGGGACAACAAGGCCCCGCTGTAAACAGAGCTCAGGGGACGCCGCTAATGATATAAATAAAATAACCATTAATAGCCCTGTGACCCCAGCCCAGCCGGTTTGGGAAAGCCCCGGAGCCGACACCCGGCCAGCAGGTACCGAGGCTGCCCCGCTTCTTCCTGTCCCTGTCTTCTGCACCCCGGCACTGCTCGCCTCGGTCCGGCCGTGCTCCTTGGCGCCAGCCGCCCGCTATGGGCATGGTCGGGCACGACCGTCTCCCCAATTCCCAGCTAAGAACTCGCTGCCGACCCCTCTCCACCAAAGGGGGGATGCTGGCTGGCATGGCGGGAAGGCGCTGGCTCGGTTACCGCACCGGGAGCACCGGCGGGTGATGAGGCGGCCGCAGGAAAGGCCGGGGTAACACGGGGTGCTCCCAGGCCTGTCGGGGCCCGGCCGCAGCTTGCTCCTTCCGCGGGGCCTGGGTTCTTCGAGCAGTCCGTGTGGCCGGCGGCGGCACAAATGAGCGGGTCCCAGCGTGAGAACCGCTCGCACCGCCGGGGAGACGTCCAGAAGCGTCGTTTCTGCCCGGGTCGGGCTCCTGGAGCCCGCAGGCCGCGCCTGGCGATCGGCCTGGCGATCCCTTGTCCGGGATTCGGCTGCGGGTGGGAAGGGTGATGGCGCCAGGCGAGCCAGAGCCGGCCGGGGCCGCGCCCTCGGCACAGAGGCTGCTTCTCCCGCAGACGGCCGGCCAGGCGGACATCCACTGTGGCCCGCCGGCAGTCCTTAATGCCGCCAGCACCGAGGGCACCGGACCCTGACGCTGCTCTCCCCGCCGCTGGGCTCCCGGGGAGAGCGGCGCCGTGCAGAGCCCTGCCCTCGCCGCGCGGCCGCCGGGCCCCGAGGCTGGCGGGAGCGGTCCGGGACGGTGGCGGATGTGTAACACCGATAAGGAGCTAATTGTTACTAATTGTTTTCGGGGCCCCGGCAGCGAGTCAGCGCCGGGCTTCTCCGCGCACCGGCGGCATGAGGCAGAGTGGAGCCCCGGTCAGGCCTGGTTACTGCGAACGCCCTTCCCCGTCCACCGTCCGGGCAGGAGGAGAGCGTCCTGTACCGGGAGCGGGCGGGGAACGGCGAGAAGAAACTGAATCGCCATGATTTACGGCGAGAGATCTGAAGCGGCGCGGGGGGAACGGTTCACTGCGCCGGGGGAACGGGAACGGGCTCCGCCGGGGGAACGGGAACGGGCTCCGCCGCGGGACTGGTAGCGCACGAGCTGCGGCGAAGGGTGCAAGACTCGGGCTCCCGTCCCGGACTGCGCCACCAGTAAATGGGTGTGCGGGAAGACGAAGAAAGGAGGGCACCGACAGAGCCGGTAAACGGCAGAGCTGCCGGACGATAACAACACAAGGGAAGCTCCCGGGAAGGCCCCGCGAAGCCGCGGCGCCGGGACACTCACCTGCCCGGCGTACGCGCCCGGCTCCGGTGACCTCCCCTCGGCGCCGATCCGAGCCCTGCGGGGCGGCAGGATTTTAATCAAAACGAAAAATCTCACCAGGGACTCCCTGCCCCTCCTTCGATGCGCCCGCTCCCCGCGCCGCGGCACCCCGGAGCCCTTGGAGGGCACCGGAGGCCGCGGAGAGCGCCGAGGGGCCGCAACACCCCGCACCGCGGGGCTCGGCCGGTGCCCGGCCCAGCCCTGCGGCCGGGGGACCCGCAGTGCGGAGGAGCTCGGCAAGCTCATTCGGTGCGTCACCCGTCGGCACAGGGGCGAGATGGCTCCGCGGAGCCGCTTGCCGCTCACTACCGGAGGGAGAAACGAAAGAAAGTGAAACGAAACGAAAGAAAACGAAAAACAACGAAAGGAAATACCGAAGAACGCGGTATCGCTCTTCCCACCCAGATCCACATTACTGCGGCCTCAGGCTGCCCGCCCGGCTCGGCCCGGTCCGCCCCGACTGGGCCTGGCGGCTGCGGGGCCCGATCCGCCGGCGGCGGCGAAGCGCACTTTGCCCTGTGCGAACGGGTGTCGCACCGGCCGCGGAGAGCTGGGGCGGCCTGCAGGTTGGCCGGTCGCCGGAGGGTCTGCGGGGGCACGGGGAAATGCGGAGTGGGTCGGCTACGTGTACGTCGCAAGGCTACGGTCCGTCCGGGACGGCGGGGTCGCCGCCGGCTCCGGAAGGAGTGCGGGGCGGCAGAGGCGAACCTCGCCTTCGCGCCGCATCCTGAGCGGCGGGACGCACTTGCGGGGCCAGGCGGGCGGCCGTGCTGGTGGGCCGGAGAGGTCGGCCCTTCCCGGCACCGGCCCGAACCGTGTGCGAGCAGGGGCCAGCGGGGCGCGCCGGGGCGGGGGTCCCTACCTACCTACACGTGCTTAGCACTGGGGGGCGCGGCGGCGGCGGCCGCGGCTCTCTGCGGGAACCCCGACCCCGACGCACCGTCCCCGCGCCCGCCGGGCGGGTGCCGGGCCGGCGGGGCGCTCTGCGGGGAAGCAACCTCCCCGAGCGCAGCCTTAATACATTGCTATTTCTGGCCGGGCGGCCGGAGCCGGGCAGGGGGCCGGCTCTGCCTCCCCCTCCCTCCAATGGCGAGGCCGCCCCCGGCCCCTCCTTGCCGTGACGTGCCGGCCCGGGGCAGAGGAGGCTCCCGAGCCCTTGGCTGTCCCTGCAGAAGCTGTAACAAAACGCAGACCCCCAGCGCCGAGCTAATGGAGGCAACTTAGACAGCAGCAGGCGCGGCCCCTCGTCTCTCGGCGCTGCCTGCTCCCCCCGCACCGGGAGCGGCGCTCCCCGCCGAGCAGCCTCCCGATCGCTGCCGGGCCCGCGGGACTGCCTGGCCGCTTGCGCTGCCCCGATGATGTTACCGAGCCCCGTCACCTCCACACCTTTCTCTGTCAAAGACATCCTCAACCTGGAGCAGCAGCAGGACCCACACTATGGGGCCCAGCTCCCGCACCACCTGGAGCACCACTTCCACCCCGCCGCCTGCCTGCTGGCGGCCGCCGACGGCGCCCGCTTCTCCGACGGCGAGGAGGAAGAGGAGGAGGAGAAGCTCTCCTACCTGAGCCCTATGGCAGCGCCCGGTAGCCAGGCGGACGCGCGGATCTCCGCCGACAACTACGTTCACGCTGTGCTGCGTGGCTCCTGCGAGGCTCCCGGCCCGGGAGAAGAGCTGGACCCCGCGGTCCGTGACCCAAGTGAGTATCGGCTCCGCCGCGCTCCCCCACACTGCACCGCCCCACCGGGACAGGCCCGCGCTAGGTCGCCGTGGTGAATTCCCAACTCTCTGGGCATCGCACCGCGAAGCCCCGGTCCTGGCGCTGCAGATCGGTCCACGTCCCCGGGCCGTGTCGAGCCGGGACCGGCCCGTCGCGGGGCTGCCACCGCCCTCCTCCGCGCCTGGGTCGCCACCTCCCTGGGTAGTGCCACCGCGGGAAGAGCCTCCGCAAGGCCCCGATCTGTAGCTGCCGGATCAGGCCCGCGCCCCGCAGCTTTGGTAGTGGAGAGGGAGGACCGGGGCGGGTTAGGCCCAACGCGCACCCGCGCGGCGGGGCCCGGTGGCGGAGCAGGTGCCCGGCGCCGTGCGCGGCGTGTCCCCGGGGCTCACCTCGAGGTGCCGTAGCAGTAACGTGGCAGCCGCCCCGGAGGGGACGTGCCCGGCCCTGCCGCCCAAATCGGGCCCTGGCAAACGCAGGCAGTGCCGGAGGCGACCGGTCCCAGGACTGCCTCTTCGCTCGCTCGGCGGTGCCCCGACGGGCGCGTAGCGGCTCGGGGTCGGCCGGGGCGCGGCGCGGAGCTCTCGCCTGCGGGTGGGTCCCGGCGGGAGCAGCGAGCGCCCGGCGTCCCTGGCGCAGTCGTGACCTGTGCTCCCCCGTGCAGAGAGCTGCGTCCTGAAGAAGCCGCTGGACGCGACGGAGAAGACGGAGGAGGCAGAGAGGCCGAAGCAGCGGAGCCGGAGGAAGCCGCGCGTCCTCTTCTCTCAGGCTCAGGTTTTCGAGCTGGAGCGTCGGTTCAAGCAGCAGCGTTACCTGTCAGCGCCCGAGCGGGAGCACCTGGCCAGCAGCCTGAAGCTCACCTCCACGCAGGTGAAGATCTGGTTCCAGAACCGGCGCTACAAGTGCAAGCGGCAGCGCCAGGACAAGTCGCTGGAGCTGGGCGGCCCCGCGGCCCCGCCGCCGCCGCGCAGGGTGGCCGTGCCCGTGCTGGTCCGCGACGGCAAGCCGTGCCTCGGTGGGTCGCAGGGCTACAGCTCGGCGTACAACGGGCCCTACTCCTACAATGGCTTCCCCGCCTACGGCTACGGCAACGCCGCCTCCTACAACCCCGGCTACGGCTGCACCTACCCGGCGGGCACCGGCGGCGCCTCCATGCAAGCCGCCTGCAGCCCGGCGGCGGCCGCCGGCCCCTTCGTGAACGTGGGCGGCCTGGGGGGCTTCAGCGGCGGCGGCCAGCCGCTGCACCAGGCGGCGGCGGGGCCGTCCTGCGGCCAGGGCGCACTGCAGGGCATTCGGGCCTGGTAGCCCGCACGCACTGAGGGTCGGGAGCGGACCGACAGGACGGCCTAGCGGCTCCGGGGCCCCGTTATCACCCGCACCGCAGCCCGGCTGCGCGCCGCGCGCCTTGGACCGGAGGCGGCGGCGGGACGGCGCAGCGGCACCCCGGCACTCCCGCGGGCATCGGTGCGGGGCCGGCGACGGACGGAGCGGAGCGGCGCGGCAGGACGGGTCCTCCCGAGCCCGCAGCGAAACGCTGCCGCGCCGCGGAGCCGCCGGGACGGACGGACTGACGGCCGAGCCGGGCGGGCCGGAGCCGATCGTGCCGCGCTAGCGGAGCAGCTTTGCTTGTAAAAAAAGCCGACGGCGGGGCCCGGTGGTGCCGCGGTCCCTCTATCTACTTTGTATCGGTCACTGCCAGCGCCAGCTCGCCCAGTCAGTCAATAAACCAGGTGCAATATTCGCCACCCGATCCTCCTTCGCCCACCAGTCGGTGCCCGGTGGCGGGACGGTCGCCGCGTCGTGCCCACGGGGCAGGGCGGCCAGACCGGCTTGTGAGCGTGCCAAGGGCGCTGAATGGGGCCGCGCAGCTCAGAGCCTGGCCCATTGTGGCCGCCGGGCCGGCGCTGAAAGGAGCCGCCGAGGAAGGTAGCGGGAATAGGCGCTTATTGGATTCGGGAACAAAAGGTGTGGCAGGGAGGCGAGGGACAAAGGGGCCCCGGCGCCGAGATTGACGGGCCGCTTTGCCCCCCACTGAGGCCCAGGCCCGGCGCTTTATGCGCGGGGGCTGCAGAAACGTGCTAGGTTTTGTTCCCCTTTCTGGGAGCGCAGGGGAAGAGGAGGGGGGTCCGCGGGCCGCTGATTAGGGCCGGCCGGGCCGGGCAGTCTGAATGCCGGGGCATTATTGCTACATGTTCAGCCATTTCGCTCGATTGCAGGGGGAGGGGGCGGCCGAGGCCCCCGAGCCCCGCGGGACCGGCCGCGGGGTCCCCCACCCGCCAGCCCCGTCCCGAGCCGGCCCGTCCCGTCGCCGCTGCCGCGGCGCTCTCGGGGCGGTCGCGGCCCCGCGGCTGCGGCTCCGCCTGTGCCGGGCGGGTCCCACCGAGCCCCGCCGCCGGGGCCGGAGGCCGTTGGGGAGGGCCGGACACCCGCAGAGCCCCGTCTGGCTCACCGCGGGCGGCAGCGGGGACCAGGGGCGCCGGGAGCTCTCCCGTGCCGTGCCGCACATCTGCCCGGCAGCGACACTGGATCTCCAGAGGTGTTTCCAGCGGAGCCTTCTTGAAGCGGCCAGCACGATTGCAGACCCGGGGCTCAATATGCTACCCCTGTTACCCAGAGCTGCCCACCGTGACGTCCCCTTGACCTCCCCCTGTGTGTTGTGTGACAGTCTCTCTGCCACGAGCAGAGGACCAGGCTGCCTCGCAGAAGCTGCAGGTAACGACGGTTCACGCTACTAAACCCGGGTTTACGCTGCACATTCCCACCATTCAATCTGGACGTGCACCCTTGGGGTTCGCTGTTTGAGGGGAACCGGAGAAATTCTTTCCAGTGCAGCACTGCAGGGACAGAGTGGGCAACCAGCAGGCCCCGGAGCCTGTCTCGGCACTGCACCCAGCTGTCCCACGAGCCACCCCGAGGCCGGCAGGCTCCACGGGGCCGGCGCTGGGAGAGGATGCGGCACGCCCAGCTGATTGTTTGCTGGATGGCAGTAAGGTGTCACAGGAGAGGAAGCCCAGGCCCCACTCTTGGCTTTAGGAGATGAGTGGTTAGGGCCTTGTGGTCTCGTGGGTAGAAACAGGATAGCCAAGAACAAAGGTAATGCGCTCTCTTTGCAGCAGCAGTCAGGCTGAGGAGATTTGTCTCTGCCATAGGAAGGAGTTGCATTTTCCTCCATGTTCTGCCAGACTGTTGTCTATAAAGATAAGGGACCCGTGTGAGTTCATGCCTTGGTGTGCAAGTCGGAGGAACTGCAACCACAATAGAAGCTCCTCCAAAATCGGGGTGTTGGAGAGGAGTTCCCAGCTTAACACATCATCTCAAAGTATTTGGCAGCTGGTTAGAAATCCAGTGCATCTCAGCAGCACGCAGAGGCTCAGGATGAGACCAGAGCCCTGGTGTGGGACATGCTGCCCATGTGTATAGTCACAGTCTCTAGAGTATGGGCAGTTAGGCAAAGGGAAGGGGCACACAGGTACCCCACAGTCATGTAGCAAGAGGCGATGCTGGGCAGTACCAGCATTATCCAGCACCAACAGTATCCAGCATTGCCATAGCTGTGAGGTCAGTACTGTGCTCACTCCACTTGTGCCTGGTCACAACCCTGGTCCCGTTCTCCCTGTGCAGAGCTGGAACGGTGCCCAGCTGGGGGATGCTGGGAGGCCTGACTGCAGGCTGATGTGGCATGGCAGTGGAAGTTTCTAGATGTCCACCATAGCGAGCCCCATTCCTGGGACAGATCCCAGCTGTCCCACCAGCTCAGACTGGGGGAAGGGCAAGGGCTTAGTGGGAGGGACCCCTCTGCAGAGCCTCACCCAGAGCCCCTGAGCTGATGGGGAGTACGAAGTGGCACAAAGAGCCAACGGTACTGGAGGACCTGGAGTAGGGTGGCAGAAACGAAGCGCTCCAAAGAGGAGGAACAGCTGGTGGAGGCCGGTGGGAGGGAGATGGTGGGAGATCACAGATTGGACAGGCTGCCCAGGGAGGGGAGACACAGTGGAGGGAAGTTGCTGCGTGGCTGTGCTGGAGGCAATGCCCGCCTGTAATGTGCCCCACACGCTGGGGCAAAGTGGGATGCTGCTCGTGGGGTGAGAGGCACCAGGAAATCCCTGGTGGAAATCCCTAGTGGAAATCCCTTCAGCATGACCCCATCCTGTGATGGTGGCATAGCAGAGGGACTTCAGGGAGGGAGAGATGGGGAGGACCATGACCAAGGGGCAGAGGGTGTGTATTTCTTCCTTGTTGATCGGGGGGTTTACTGCTGTTTGGGAATCAAGATGGAAGTTGCCAATTGATTTCCAAGAGGGATGAGGTTTCTAAGACAGTGCACTAACTTAAAGGAAAGGAGGGACTCTTGGGGTAGCTAGGCTTTAACTCCCAAGCCTCAGACTCACTCTGTGCACAGGCTCCAGTTGTGTTTTTCATTCAAGTTTCCTGGCCAAGGAGGAGCCCATGAGCAGAACTTGTCTCTGTCCAGTGGTTCCTGGGGAGGCTTGATCCAAACCCCAGTTCTGCCTGGTTTTCTGAGGCCTTTCCATCATGCTCAGGATCACACAGGAGCAGTGCTGTTCCTTCCGCAGCACCACAGATACGCTCTGGTTTCCTCTCCTTCCTGTCATCTTTTTCCATTTTTCCTTCCCTGCTGCTGAGGTCATCCCTCCCCCTCATATCCTTCATCCTTCTCTCTTCACCACTCGTTGCCATCAGCAAGGAGCTCACCTGGGCACAGAGGGAGATGGATGCTCCCAGAGAGGCTGGCCAGGCTGCCCACGGACCTGGGCAGACCTCGCTGAGTTCTGGTCCCATCTACTTCAACCTGGACACAGCCACCTCCTGATGCCTTGGGCATGGGAACCTGGGGACCCAGCTGTGTGCTGGGGTGGTGCCCAGCTCTTGCCCCTCTATTTTGGATGATTTTGGAGTGGCAGCTCCTGCTCTGCAGAGCTTCCCACTGCAGCCACTCCATGCCTTGAGCTGGGAGCTGCCAAGGCTGCTTGGCCACCAGGGCTCTGCAGAGCTAAGAGGTCTCAGAGATGCTGGAAGCTCCTCCTGCCAATGGCAATATGATGTTGTCACACAAGCACTCTCCAGTGCCAAGAAGGCTGTGGCCAGCCATGGATCAGGTAATTAAATTAAAATACTGTACCTGTGCTATGGAGCCTCCAGAGAGGCTTTCTCACACTACTTCTCTGCCAGCACGAGGGCCAGGGACCTACCTCCCTTCCTTGGATGAGTCACTGCATTACAAGGTAACTACACCTGACTAAGTGGGGTGATGGTACTCGCATGTTTTAGCCATTCCTTCTCCCTGCAGCGGTGAGACTGGGCACAGTGCTGCCATGAGAGATCCAGGTATCCCACGAGGGATCCACTCTAATCCCACAAGGGATCCAAATGATCCCTCCAGAGAGGGGGCCTGCATCTTTGTCCCCTTCAGAGCAGAGTGCTGCTGAAGGTCAGAGCTGCCCTTGTGGCCTGCCAGAGCCCTTCCCGGCTGCATCATGCCACCATCCCCCGCCTAGGCAGTAAAACCCACAGGCATTTCCCCAGGGACGACCCTTCTCCGCGCCCAAGGCTGCTGCAGGCGGGCGGTGCCGGGGCCAGCGGGGTCCCGAAGTGCTGCCTGGAATCTTCAGGTCCCCTGGGCTACCAGCAGGGACAACTGCTCCCGGGGCCTGTCCCCAAGCGAGATACGCCACCGCCATCTATCGGCCAGCGGCAGGGGACAGGGAGCGACAGGCACCCCTCTGTCCTCGCCACCTCGTGCCGCGGGGGCTCCGCGGCTTATGCTGGCTCGGTTTGGCGTGCCCGAGTCCCCCTGCAAGGCTTGGAGGGCTGCAGAGCATCCAGGTAGGGTCTCGCCTCCCCGCTGGGAACAGCAGTGGGACAGACTGGACATCGTGAATGCTGGGCTGGTTGTGTGGGTGTCTCCCCACGGCAGCGCCCAGCAGGAGCTGAGAGTCTCCAGATCCGCACAGGAGCACTGCTGCACCCGGCAGCACCACCGGGGCCTGTACACTCAGCAAAGGCAAGCACCCACCTGCCCCTACTGCATGGGTGCAGTGGGAGAGCTGGAGACAAGGCTGGTGTCCCCTGCCAGCCTCTAGCCACCATGCAGGCCCCTTTCCAGGGAGCAATGCTTTGCACTGTGTTCTTTTGTGCTGAGCACAAGCACCCAGTGTGTCTCTGTGAGAGACCCAGCAAATTTCCAGCTCTTATTATCTTCTCTGTCCCAAAGTGGTGCAATTCACCTAGTGCCAGGAGCCCCTCTAAACCTTCTGATGCCCTGGCATTGCCCACAGCTTCCAGCTAATGTTCTGAAAGTTCTTGACCATATGATGGCTGTGGCGTCCAGCACCTGGTGCCTGTCACAGCTGTGTCCTCACCAGAGGGAGCTGTGTCCCACATGAAGACACAGCCCAGTTTTGGCCCAATTCCCTACTTTTTTTATAGCCCCTGGCAATGCTCCAGGCTCCAAACTGCTCAGGTCTAATGGGCACCCAAAGGTGCCAAGGGCAGAGAGGAAGGCTGCTTGGATTTGCATTTCTCCTGGCACGCACCTAGCCATGACAGGCATGGTTGGTCTGTGCCCTGCCAGGAGGCTCTTATGTCAGTCCAAATGCCATAGTGTCCTGGGGCGCATTGCAGGGTTTCTCTGGGGCTAATGCTGGCCACCAGTGCAATATCTGGAGGCATGTTGGGTCAAGGAGGTTAAGGCCAGAGCCCCCTCCCACAGTCTCCTGGAACAGCCTTTGCTTCAGCTGCTTTTGAGAATGATCCCAGAGCAGGCTGTAGTGTCACAGCATGCCTGAGCTGTCCCTGCTGTCCTCACCCATGTGAAGACACTTGGGAGAGTAACCCTTGCTGCCACCCTCATCTAGCCCAGGAGCAGCTCTTCTCCCACCTCTGTCACCTTCCCAGCACGACATGCCATCTTCTCACACCCCAGCTTCATTCAGGCAGTATCTTCCCAGGGCCACTTTGCAGCCCCTTGTTGGAGGACTTCAACACATAACCCTGCACTAAGTATGGGTATTACCAATATCTCCCCATCAAAACAGACATGTCAAGAGCCATTCCAGCCTAGGGGATTGATTCCTCTACTGGTTCTTTACAGCCAAGAAAGCAGGCTTTCAGCTTCAGCTTTACCTTTGAGGCTATATTCCCTGCCTAGAAAGGGAAATAGCCTTTCAGGCCATGCTTGAAGTGAGCCAGGCAGGCTGGGACCAGCTCAGCCAGGAGTTGTCTCTCCACAGTTTAACCCGAGCAGCAATGTGGGTCAGAGGAGGGTTTCCCAGGCCCACCAGAGGCAATATCTGCTCTGTTTCCAGGGAGCCCCAGCGCTCACATTTACCACTGCTGTAAGGCCATGAGGTCATGAGAACTTGTACAACTTTATTGGGGTTTGACAAGAGTCCTGAGGAATCCCAGAGCCAGGGTGGGTTGAGAGCCCACCTCTCTGCTCTCCATGAGCTCCAGCCATGTCTTCCCACTGAACAGAGCTGTCAGGCATACAGTGCAGAGGGGATGGGGGGCAGGAAAGCTCCAGGCAGTCCAGGGTGCCAGCAGAGACAGGGCAGGGCTGTGGTTTGACAGGGCAGTGCCTTTGCCCCCACCTGCTCCCGAACTGGGCTGGCAAAAGGACTGAGGGCTGGGACCCCAGTGCCCTGTGTGGGGTCTTCAAGACAGGAGCAGCTCAGGAGCCCACTGGCCCCCAGCTGAAAGTACGAGGCAGACACACTGGAAGGATATCCCCTTCCTTCTCTGGGGAAGATGAACCCTCCCCAGCTTTCCTCACCCCAGCTCTGCCCTTAACCTGCAGGAGTGCAGTCATCTCCAGTTACCCCAGGGAGGCAGCCAGGGGCTCCTGAGCTGCTCCTGGCACTGTAACCTCAGGCTGCCTGAAATAGTTTGGACTTGTGCCACAGCACAGCTGCGGCAGTCCCGGATCTCTCACCCAGAGCAGGGCCAGGCCAGCAGAGCTGCCAGGCTCTGCCTGCTTGGGGGCTGCAGGACTCACCCGACACCAACACCAGTGGCAGGACAGGGTTCAAAGGGCAGTTGGACACAGGAAGGCAAGGCAGCACATCCCTGCCCACGGTGGATGTGGCTGGGGATCCTGCAGGGAAGTGAAAGGAAAAGGGATTGTCTCCAAAACTCTGCCGGGCTGAGCATAGCTTCCTTGCTGGAAAGCCAAAAATAGTCTCTTTACTCAGAAGAGGCTGTAGGAGGGATCTCTCTTGAAGTGCAGCCAAATACCTAAGAGGCCATAGGACAGCCCCAGAGCAGCACAGCTACACCAAGGTATTATCAGGCCTTGGAAAGGCAGCGGCCATAGCTGAACCAGCCAATAGCTCCGTTATCTCCAGGCATCTCATCATGTGAAAGGTGCCAGAGGAACCAGGCCATGAGGCAAGGGAATATCCCCACGCTGGCAGAGCCAGGGATCAGCTGCATGCTGCCACGGCCAGGGGTCTGTGGCAGAGGTTCCGTTCAGAGGATGGGAGACAGGAGAGGGGATTTTTCCTGTCTATTGTGGCCTAGCCCAAGGGATATCTGGGAATTCCCATGGCAGCTCTGCTCTCCCTGCAGGCCAAATCCATCACAGTCAGTCCCATTCCCTGCAGGGCTGCTGCTGCCTGCACTGAGTTTCACCCAGATGCTGCTGGATAAGCTGGCAAAGTGCCAGGAGACCAGAAAGGCCATGCCCCTGCCAGGGGACTGCTTAAGGCCAATGACTCACATTGCAGCATCTCTGTGCTGTGCTGATTTATCTCCCCATTCCTGGGGGTCTCACTCCCTCCCCCAGCACTTCTGTGGGCAGGATGTTTCCTGGAGACACTTTCAATCATGCCTTTACCCACTGACATTTATAGAGCCTCTTCCAGCAGCTGATGGATTTAATAGTGTGAATCTTCCTCTAGCCCCAGCCCATTTATGCCTTTCCCTCCACGGGGTTTGTCATTGCCCCAGTGCATGGTGAAGGCTCAAGGCAAAGCTGCAGCTCTGCTGCCAACAGCTTTCAGCTCCTGGGCAGAGAGATGCATCCTGGCAGAGACTAGTCATACCCATCTTCTGCAAAGTCCTGTCTCATGCCCTGCCCACCCAGCTAATCCTGCCCTGGTCTCTCCCAGCCATCTCTGTTTCTCACTCTTGGGTGGAGGAGACGCAGGGCTGCAAAATCTTGTAATACTCAGACTATTTCTTTAAAGCCCCAGCTCCTGAAATGGTGGGAAAATTTGAAATTCTTAACCTCCAGTGGATTTTGTGTCTTTAAGGAGTTTCTCATTCTTCTGCTTGTGCAGAAAAAACAGGGATCAGAGCCTACAGCCCATGCCAGGGAGCAGAGGATGGGCACAGCACACGGCCCAGGTGGAGCAGGGCTGCAGAACAGTGCTTGTGGCTGCTCTGTGCCAGGGGCATCCAGACTTGCCAGGCAGCCATCCAAAATCCCACAGGAGGTCACTCAGCTTTTCTCACCACCTTCAGGAACCAGGGCATGAGGGATGTGTAAGGGAAAGGTGGATCCTGTGCTGGGCTGGGGCTTGGGCAGGGTGCCAACATCCAGCCCTGCAGTGCAGGGGTCCCTGCCCTCCAGTCCCCCAGCAGTGACAGAGCCCAATGGCCCTGAGGGCTGTGCATCCCCCTTGCTCATCCAGGAGCTTTTCTAGCTGCAGAAAACCCCTCTTTGTCCTCACCATAGCCCACTCCAGCAGCCCTATGTGCAGGCCAGGCCAGCAGACCCTCTGGAGCAGGTAGGTCTAAGCCAACCCGGACACCCACCAGCTGCACATACCATGACTGTGAATGCATTTCCTCCAGGGAGTTATTCTGGGCATGGCACTGGGTGACACATGCCACTCCTGCATGCACCTTGGGAGAGTCAGGCATCACCCACGAGCACCCTGTTCAAGAAACCCAGAGCTCTGCCCTGGGCAGGTCAGCACAATGGGGCAATGCTTTAATGCTCGGCACACAACACAGTGAGGATAGCTCACAGCTCCAGAGTTGGGTGGGACCCTAAAATAAATTAGTATCAAGACAACTAACAACACGTTAGAAAACCAAGTTATTCTTCTAATTACCATTAGATTGGAAAAAATACTAGCACTTTGAGCAAGTGTGCTGATAGAATTTTAAGATGCTCATCAAGCATCAAACTAGTTTAATTACTCAAAATGAGTGGGCAAAAGTGCTGCCAAGCCCTCAATCTCCTATATGAGGTGCAGAAAACCCTCCACCATCACTCAGCACCAAATTCCCGTGCCGTTCCTGACACACACAACTCAGGACCCTCCTGCCACCAGCTCCATTCGGAGCAGTTTGGAAGCATCCTGAGGACTCCTATTCAGACTGAGGGTGTGGGACTACCTGGCTGAGGAGCATAAACCTCAGCTTCTCCCTCAGCTTCTCCTGCTCCTTCTCAGCAGGAGGTGATGGATCATGAGCCAAACGGGATGGGCAACACCCTCATCCCTGCATGCTGCCAGGGTGACTGGGCCAGGCAGATCCCCTTCTCCCACCACCACCTCTAAACCCCACTTCCCTCCCTGCTTTGGCATTCATCAAAAGAGCTCAGCCCCAGGCACAGTCAGAAAGCCACAGTGCCAGGAGCTGGGCCATGCCGGAGTAAGAATGGGACATGAGGACAGAGCAGAACTGTTTTTATTGGAGGTGTCAAGAGCAGGAACAAAAACAAACCTACAGGCTCCCTCCTCAAGTGCCATCCTCCCCCTCACCCACCACCACCACCACTGCGGCAGTCAGCATCACGTGTGCGTGCTACAAGACAACGGCCAAGGCTTACACTTTGCTTCAGCCAAAGGCCAGACAAAGCCCCAGCATCCGCCATCACCTCCTCCTTGGCGACTGCGAGCTCAGCTTGGCCCTGCCAGAAGCCGGGCAGGACATTCACCTTCCCCTCCGAAGAGGGGTGAGCTTTGTGTGAGACATTGTGGTTAAGGGAAGGACAGGAGCACAGCTCCACCAAAGTGCGAGGGAATGTGACCTGGGCTGCAGCTCCCAGCAGGGTGTCGTGGAGGACCCTGGGAGAGAGCAAGCTGTGCAGCCTGAGCAGAGCTGCAACAGTCACAGGGGAAAAACGGCATTGCTAAACCCCAAAGGGCTTCACTGCCCCCTCTCTTCAACACAAACCAAACTGAAAGGGAGAGGGGTCAGAAGACAAACCAGGAGGGGGATGTGAGGCAGGTCTGGAACAGCATTTGGCTCTTGCTCACTTCCCAGCCCGACGCTCCTCCTGGCGCTTGGTGAGGATGTATTTGAAGAACTCATACACGGACCAGGCAATCGCTGTCGAGGGCATCTGATAAATGACTCTGGCCTGGACCCCTCTGAAGTAGGCGGTCACACCGCCCACTTGGTACACCGTCCTGAAGGCATTAGCCATGCCTGTGATGTGTCCGCTGATGTTGGAGCTCAGGGCCAAGGACTCCTGGGTGTTGAGCAGTGTTTTGCAAACGTCCAAAGGCGTAGTGGCAGCGGCAGCGACAGCCCCCGCACAGGCTCCGGAGACCACGTGGGAGCCTGGGTTGTACTGTCTGTGGGGGTTGAGCTGCTCTTGCAAGAACTCGTAGGTCATGAAGTGAATGGCTTGGAAGGGGATGTTCATGGTGAGCTGGGTGGTGTAGCTGCGGTAGAAAGCTCCGGCCCCTTCGTTGCGCCACACAGCCCGCACACAGTCCATCACACGCTGGTAAGGCGAGTTGTACATCTGCATCCTCTGCTTGACCACTTGGGACATAAAGTGGTAGCCAGCAGTAGCAGCAGCCAGGACCCAGGCATGGAGGGGAAGAGGAAAGAGAAGGGTAAACACGAAGCCAGGCTTCCCCTCCAAATGCCTGGAGTTTGGTCACGCGGGCCTAAGAGCTAATGACAGACAACTCGAACCAGCAGCGCCGGGTGTCCCCAGACAGGACTCCAGCCATTTAGATCTGCTGAAGCTTCCCTGTCAGACAGACATCACCACCTTCAAACCCTGCACCTGCCATAGCCCCAGGGAACATCTCGATATCCCGTCAGTTACACTCCAGATCCAGCCTCACTCCTGAGCAACTGCTCATCCATGGCAGCAAAACTACCACGCCGTCTGAAGAACCTGCTCTGCATTCACTCCCTTTATATTCCAGACAGCTCTTGATCTGGATAATACGGTCCCTCCCCAGCCACCCCCACTGAAGCCCAGAATAACCATCACAGAGCTCACCAGCCAGGAACTGTTTGCAGCCATTGTCGAAACGCTGCCACTCCAGGGCAAAATTCAGATGCCAAACCCCCCAACATCCAAGAGCAGGACAGGGAACCCTAGAGCGGAGCCCGCCCCTCTCCTGTCTCCCCCTGTCTCAACATGACCACAGGGAAATAAAAATGATGTGACTATAAACTACTACAGTCATGACGAGAAGCTCCAGGGAAGGAATGACAACAGTCTAGCCAAGCAGCTGCCTGCTCCTCGAGTCCCAGCCATGCAGTGGGCAGGCACGAGCCTTGCTGGGCCCACATCAGCTAGAGCCTGAACTGTCACAAGCTCTCCAATTTTAAGAGGAAAAAATACCTTCATGACTGGTCTTTCCTCATTATTCCTCCTTTTCCCACCACGTTCACAGACTTAAATTGCAAACTCTTTTTTTTTCATACATACCAGGCTCAACAAAATCATCATCTTCCAGACATTCCACAACACAAGATCTCCCTTCTCCCAACCTCTCTAGCATGTTTTTGTATCCCATACTTTTAATTTTTTTCTTGAACACAGGCCCACAACTGTACCACGTCTTCCAGAGTTCTCACCACAGCAATGCCCAGCTTCAACACACTTGGAATGACTTTAGCAGTGCAGATCACATCTCTCTTGACTTCTTCCCTGTTCCGGGTAACAGTCCCCAGCCAAACTCCTAGGTGAAAGGCCCATTCCCTCCAAGCTCCTCCTAAGCTGGGGTGTGCTGCACTTCCAAGTTAATCTCTTCTATCTACCCTGTCCATAACAGGCAGCCACCAGCATCCCTAAGAGGGCCCACGTGACCCTAAAGGATCCTTGCAGTCAGGAAAGCAACAGGAGCACCTTCCATGCCACTGAGGGGACCCCAGAGGCTCAAGAAGACCCTGCTCCTCCCCTCCCTGGCAGGCCAGGACCATTGTTACCTTCAGCAGGGTTCATGGCTGCATCGTGGAGCAACGTTGCTACACACCCGGCTGCACCTGCAAAACAAGAACTGCCACATGTGAGGGGGGGAAAGGTGAGGGACCCCGGGGCTCCACCACAGCCCCAAGTCCCCTGCCAAAGTACAGGAGGCCCTTGAAAGAGGGTGAGATCTGAAAGCAGCCTCCATCTCCCCTCCAAAAGGCAGGCTGGTCCTCAGTGGTTCCCACCCGGAGAGAGATCAGGAGAGGCAGAGGGTTGTGACAGGCTGTCAAGTCCCGTGGGCTGACTGGGACTCCTTGGGTCCACTCCTTGAGGGACAGGACAATGCCACCAGATGGCAGGGGCCCTTAGGATGGTGTCCCCATGTCCCGTGCAGGAGCAGCCCAACATAGCACTCTGCTACGTGCCTGCCAAGGGTAGAATGTGCCCTGCTCTCCCCTCAGCCCCATGCTCTCCCTACTGTGGCAGCTCCTTGAGACAGAACAGGCACCATGGCGAGACAGGCTCCAAACCCACGTGGCACTCCTGAGGTGAGCTCTGGCACTGCCAACCCACGGGGCCACGGCCAGTCCCGGCTTGTCTGCAGGAAGCTCTCATCCACCGGCATCCTCCTGGGCCAGGGCCACCGACCTGCTCCATGCCAGATACCTGGCAGCAGCTCCAGCGGGCACAGGAGCAGTGCTTCCCCTGCCCGGCGCCGTGCGGCTGTGGCTCGTGGCTGGAGAAAGCACAGGGCTTTAGGACAACCACGGCACCCCGACCCCGCACCGGGACCGAGCCTCCTGACCGCCACACCTGCCGCTCCCGCCCCGCTCCCCCCCG